TGAATTATTACATTTGTTCCCCATGGAAACCATCAATAATCAGCGATGAAATCCTAATTACGTCGGGGAATGCTGAAGATATGTTAACATAGAAGTGGCAAATGTATACTTGGCGAAAATAACAAATGACTCCAATACAGTTCACAGAATAAAGCAGAAACCTGCAACTTCATCAAATCGACTTCATCTGCGAGAGCCAGACATTTTGCCAAAACCATGTTAACAGCAACGCTTTAAATCCACCTACGCAGTTACAACATCAGTTCAACAACTTAATTTGCTCAAACTGTAAAATGTCAGACGTGATTTTTATGTCAGCTTTCAAATAATTTCCTAATCCTTCTTCTGAAAAGCTCAAAACGAGCAAAGTGACGGCAGAAAGTGAGAGCGAAGGCTCCAATCTCAAATAAAGCTCGGGTCAAATGTGCAACGCTTTTTTGATGTTTTCTACGCACCCAGAATGCATAGTTCACACGGCCGTGAGACCGGGCCAAAACAAGATGTCTGACATCTGGATAAAGGAGGAAGGGGGAGGGAATAAGAGAGAGTAAGAAGAGAGGGGTGAGTCGTGGAAGCTTCCAAGAGCATCAATGGGTGTGGAAATGCATAAAAAGCTGGGGAAATTGAAATAACAATTCATACATTTGTTGCAATAAGAGAAAAAAACATGTCTAAATTAAAGGCCTTCGGTGTATTTTCATTACCATCTCAAAAAAGTAGGTTTCAGTGCTCAGATGTTTTTAGGGAATCCCAGACAGTGTGCATGAATGTCCTCTTTTCACCCTCTGTCTGAAACCAGAGCCCGGTCTGCTCTGATTGGTTAGCTGACTAGAGATGTCCCGCCCCTTAGCCAATCATATACAATGTGTCGGAGCACTAGCCAATTGAAGCACAAGTGTTACATAGTGACGTCACAGTGTTCAGGAAGTAAACAAAGGAGTCCAATGTGGGAGAGCAACTTCCTCTGGGGGGAACTTTGGGGTTTGCAGACCATTGTCATGCACAAAAGCCTATATCACACACACTACAGGAAATGGGAACCCCCGAAAAGCACAATAGGGCCTCTTTAAGATATGCAGCAAACATGTTAAGAACTTCTTTTTTTTTACAGAAAGAACAAAAAGGAAAAAGTGCATAATAATCAATAAGAACATAAAAGGGCACTTTGTCATTTTGGTGCTATGTTTTGTTTCACTCCATAAATACTGCTACAGAGCCCAGAGAACAGTTTGAGTGCACACCGCCCCCAAAACAGGAAGTATAAATGCATAAAACAGAGACTCCTGTGAAACTGTGTCGCCTCCTGCTGTCAGAGTTAGGTATTGCTCCGTCAGTTGAAGTGCATCAAATGATACTACCTCTTATCTCATAGAATACCTAACATGATGAGGCAATAAACAAAAAGGAATCTGCGAGCCTTTAAAACAAGCCGGTCTTACTGCAACCACATGAATACTTGGAGAAAGGCTTAATCTGGGCGCACACACACACACACACACACACACACATTGCACATTAAAGTGTTCACAGGAGGAATGTATCGGCCAATGAAAATTCAACGGAAAGTAGAAAAAGGTGATCCAAGTAGATATGATGATGTGATGGCACGACTGATTTCATAATCAATGATATATATTTACATGTTTACCTAATGTGGATATACCAAAGAGACCACCCACCCACCCACAATGTGGACTCTCATCACCTTGGATAACTATATATATATTTGACAGATGATTATATTGAGAATTAGGAAGCCCATTTGGAAGAGTAAGTGATAAGGATCGAATAAATAAGACTTCAAAGAGAGAGGAGACGACATTATCATGAGCAGTAAAGTGGTTTGATCGTCTCACAAGAAGTCTTTAAAAAAGGCAATAAAATCTCAAGACGTATTAATCTAATTAGCAACCGTACAAAAAGAGACACAGATTGACTAGTGGAGGCCACAGGAGTTAGATTCACAGTTGTCAAGGGAGCGATACACTTGTGTTTTTCCTAATATGGAGAGAAGAGAGGAAGACGAAGTGAAGGAAGGTAAGAGGTGAGTGTGCTCTGTCCAGTTGTGTCCAGTGGGACTCCGTTAAGGCGATGGTGGATGCCGACTCTCGTCTCCTCACAGCAGCGAGCAGCGGAAGAAGCTGTTCTTCTTCGGCTGTTCTGTGATCTTCACTCCATGACTGCTGCCCTGCGGGTTGTTGCCCTCCTGAGAGCCAGACAGAGGAGAGAGCTCAGTTACAGCAGGCCCCCTATTAGACTGTTCTTCATCAATATATCACAGGTCTCAGATATATACAGAACATGTCTCTGATTGGCTCCAAACACCAAACAGATCATTGCAGCATTACCCATAATCCCCTCTGTTTCAGCCCTGTTTCCAAAGTGCTGATTCTCTGTCTGTTACTTTAGATCAGGGGTGTCAAACTCAAGGCCCGGGGGCCAAATCCGGCCCGTGACTTCATTTTCTGTGGCCCCACAAGAGCTTGCAAAGAATATGATATGTTTATTATACGGT